CATATCATATCAATCACCTCATTCAGTACAATGATCCTATTCATAAGCGAAACAATCCTCTTTCTACTTATCAACGGTTTGTGGGCATTTGTGTTGTTCATCGAATCACCAAAATATTCTCTGATGCATCCCAAACATTTGAGCAACGCTGACATGAAATATTTCAAACTTAAAGCTATACTTACCCACTCATTACCAGCACACACTGGTCTGAACTCAAGCAATTTCAGTGTCTATTCTGTTGGCTGAATCGTCACTTTATTACGGTCAGTTACGTTTTTTCATTAATGTTGCACTTATTACGCATTTTGCCACAATTATACAGCTTCTCATAAAGAGTAGTCTTTTAACATAATTCTCATTTTATTGTGCGTAATATGTGAACATTAAGGTAATATAAAAAACACAACTCTCATTAATTTCAGAGGTAGAAATTGATTAATATTCATCCACAAACATTTCTTGCAAAATTCAAGCCAAAAATGTCACACAAGAAGTTCGCGTCTTGCACTCGAAATTTTCATTATAGTCATTTTCGTGGGTTTTCTTTCACGCTGAAGTTTTTATGAATCAGTTTCGCATCGATCCCCAAAAACTAGAGAAAAATCACAAAACCGAACAACGAGAAGGAACGCTCAACAACAAATGGCACTCTGTGCCATACTGAAAAGATGTAACAAAGGACGCGAGATCTGAGCGTGAATTTAGTGGCTAAAATATTGCGGGCATCGTCTCTGGTCAAATGTGAATCAGTTTCTTCCTCACACCTTCTGTCTCATTATCAGATGCGGATGTTTGTGGCAGACCAATAGATCAAAAGTCGAATGGAACGTTGATCATTTCGGGGAAGGAAAAAAGAATAATGGGTGGAAAAAATACACACTGGGGTGCTGTGCCGTGGGCTGTTGCAATTTATTTGGATGGATGTATGTTAGTGTTGATTTGATACTCAAAACAAATTGGGCATTGCTTTGTTGGGGTTGATTAGTTTTGTTTTCCTTAGCATTATTCTTGTCCATCTTGTTCTTATTATTCTCATTCATTGTTCTTGTTCTTCACCATTAGACCCTTTTTGATGAAGGAATTCAACGGGAAGCAATACACTGATCATATCACAAAGCTGCTTTGATTCAGTCTATGACAATCGAACAACAATACAGCATTATCAAGGAGATTGTTGCGTCAAATTTACTCATTGCACCACTAAGCATTGTGTTCAGCAGCGAATATTGACGAGAAGTTTAGAAATTGGTTGGATCGTTCAACTCCTGAACAAAATCTCACTTTTATTGCCATTTTATATCATGAATAATGTCGTCATTTATTTAGCACTGATCTGCAACGGTGTACTGATATCGAAGAAACACGTTGTAACAGCTGCACACTGCTTCATCAACTCGTCAAGAGTTCATAATTGCAGGCAACTTTATCGTTCTATCATATCAAGAACGTCATGTACCATTTTCCGTTTGATCCTTCTTCAAATGATTACAATTTTAAATGCCGCTCACAGGACTGAGGTGCATTTATAAGTAATGGACAGATGAGTGAAGCTGATGGTAATGAGCAAGAAAGGTTAATTGGTGAATGTCACATTATCATCATCATTCTTGTTTACCTTGATAGAAGTTAAATTACAATTTAGTGTTGACTCGGTGATGGATGAGAGTCGTATTCTGCGGGATGTTAGTGTTGTGTATGGAAGTAACTGTCTGCAGAACTCTATGAATCAATTCTGCATCGATTCACCTCTCGCCAAACATGTGAATATCATCAGGTATAAAACAGCCGATCACATTCTCATATCAAACAGTACATGTACAGATTTGTCATCATTGCTTTCATGTTTATTTATGTCTGCAAAACAGTTTAGTACAATGTAGCATCTAGCAGAATCGATGAAGATAGCAGCAGTGATTTAAGGATACGTATGGGAGGGTTTTTCGAATGGCGATGTAAAAACCGTGACATTGCACTGCTTGAATTGGCTCTTCCAATAGACAACGATTCGAATTACGCATGCTTACCGAGTCGATCCATCTCCGAATTCACTTCCATGTTGGCGACGTTCGGATGGGGTGCAGATCGTTGGTTTTGTGATGATCAAATATGTTATCACAATATGCCATATCGAACCTACTTCAATTCGTTTTCGTAGTCATACTCACATACATTTCGGTGATTAAGCACCAGTTAATGCATTGTCATTTATTCATATCGCAGTTTTTAACAATAAGCACCTACATCAGTGCGTATACAGGCGATTGCAGACTTACGACCGTTGTGCTTATCATACTTGCGACAAAGAATTCCAACGGGAAAATTTTGTGTTCAGAGCGATCAAAACATAAATCTTTGTCCGCAAAACTGTTCCGAGTTGATAATAATGACAAATTAGTCACATGAATTAAGCTGATAGGCGATTTTACCTCAATGATACCCACAGATATAAAGTAAGTCCGATCTTATTGGTTCAACGAATCGTAATAATATTTAGTGCTCTCAGTACCGTTGTAATGTTATCTTACACTTTCATACTATTCTAAATGACCCCATTAGGTGGAAGATTCCGTAGAGAAGGCGCGTAATTGTGTCAACAAGATGGCCAGTTTATTCGATGCTGACAAAAATTTCATAGTCAACTACCTTGTAGGCCTGTTTTGTGTGGATATGCCAGTCAAAAAATATCATCTTATCCGGATAAATAAATAAAAAAACAAATCAAAGAAGAACACAAGGGTCATTGATCTGGAATAGAGGTGTTGAACATTTGTTTGAAAGTATTATTCTTAAGCAAATCCACGGCAAGATGTATTTGTTTACGCTGAACGCTGAAGGTGTGTATGTTTTGTGGCAGTTCATAACTACGATCAGATTTACGAATAAAGCTGACAGAAAACTTGCGATGAAAATCGGTTCCAATGAAATTCGTAAGTCAGCGGTTACCTGTACGCAAAAGGTGATATGTGCTTGAATTTGATTTGATTCACATGCGAGCATATTTAACAACTCGTACAGTTAATGTGCATACAATCTAGCGAATAATTTGAGGGATTTTTTAAATAGGAAATATTGAATGGATAAAATGAAATGAAGAGTATTGTGTGATTTGTGTGATTCGATTTCAGCATTGCAATCGAGACAATCAGCAACAATCCTACAACATTTAGCACCCGTAGAATTGATATCGCTGAGTGAATGTGATCGCAACTGGAATTATGACCGAATGCATCCAATACCAGAAGATGCGATGTGTGTTCGTGAACATTTCAACTCAAGCGCTTGCTTTGTAAGGAGCACTTATTGGATGCGAACGGTACCAATATGAACTTATTGCAGGGTGATAGTGGAGGAGGTCTAATGATGCTCAATGATGCAAATCGTTGGATTGTTTTGGGTATTCTTTCATTTGGTTCCCAATGCGAAGCACTCATCATGAATCAAGTAAAACCTCGGGCATTAGTCTATACGTCTTTACAATACCATCACGCTGATATCGATCAATTCATCGGANGTTTTTATCGTTATTGTTGTTGACTTATCATGAGGGTTTATTACGCTGATTATCATAATTACAAGTTGAGAATATCAATCAATTCATGAACATTGTTGTTTCAAGATGAACACCCCAAAGCCAGCAATAAAGTAATTGTGATTTTGTGTTCTTTTTGTGTCCAGTAATAATGCAATTT